TAATATTTTTATTTTATTTTTTTTATTTATTCTTATTTTTATTATTTTTTCTTTTTATTTTTTTTTATTTCGTCAGTTATGTAATTATTATTTTTTTTTTTTTTTTTTTTTTTTTTTTTTTTTGTTCTGAGGTTATAATTATTTTAATATTTTAATTTTGATATGTATTTTATGTGGAATTCGTATTTTTAGTGTCTCTTGGTGCTATATATCAGAATAAAGTGTAAAAGATATTAAACTGGGTGTTTATTATAATGTGTCAGGTAGGTTGGGGAAGATTGTGTTGAAGCTGTGAGCGGTTGGAGAAAGGTGGGGAGGTTTTTAAGCTGTGAGTTGGTTAACATGTGCTAATTAATCTACTTTATTGGGGATAACTGTAGCTCTGTTTGCTTGTATTGGTGCTTCAAGGGTTTGTAATTGTCGCTATGAATTCTGCTGCTAATGTTAGACTCGATGTGTCATACGATGATAATGCTGTTTAACTCTGGGCTTCTTTTGTTTTTTTTGTTTCTTATTACACATATGTGTGTTACGCATTGCACAGTATTGGTGTCTATTCCTTTCTAATCTTTAAGATTATGTTTTAAAGTTTACTGCCTGTTTCATTCTGATTCAGGTTTTTATTGAGGTGAAACTCTGAAAAATATGCCCTGATTTTAAGGTGCAGGACCAGTCCAAGGTATTTGGGGGAGAAGGAAACTAAGTAGGAAGCTTCAAACGAGGGTCGTTACTCTTAGGATTTCAAAGTATGATGTTTGGTTACTCAGTATACTTGGGCAATAAAGATTCATCAACTGATAGATGGATAAAGAAGCATAATGCCCTTCTGTGTTGGCTGAAGGTGAGTATTATGATCGCTTTTTTAATGTTTCCTACTCTATAGCAGTTTGTTGTAAACTTATGGGGATCCGTTGAACATATTTTTCACTCATTATTATAGATGCAATGTTATTGTGGTTGCTGAGATTTGGTTTTATAGAGCTGTGCTACAGGAACATGTTTTGAAGAAGGAAAATTCTGAAGAGGCTTAATAATTCATTGCATTTTAAATGGATATTGTTTCATTTTAAACTTTCTTTTTATTCATGATTATAAGATATGAGACTCCAACTTTGTCACAGTAATATGTGTTACTTTTATTTATTACTTTTGGTTCAGTAGCTGGTTTTTCATTGAGTGAAGAAGCACATAATGTTTAACACATTGAAATATCTACCGTACTGTTCCAAAATTCTTAAAAAAGTATCGTAGAAGTAATGGTTACATATTGATAATATCTACAGTTACTGTTCAAAAAATGCTTAAAGTATCCTATGCAGAGAAACTTTCGCAAATCCACTTTCTATAAAAGCCGCACTAAATTACTATTTGGGTCATTGTCAAAATGAGGTTCATGGTGGGTCAGGCACTCAGTCTTTTTTGTCACTTTTTCATCTTTAAGGTTGCGCTTCCCCTCAGGGAGAATCGTAAAATTATAGCTGGTTAGATTTACAGTTGTCTATTGACTTTTCTTCCACATGAATCAATGTATGGGGACTCTCCATGAGCAAGTTGTGCTCTTGAGCTTTATATAATAATATTTCAAACCTTGCTTGCGCACTGTGAACCATGTTGGTTATGAAAATGTATATATTTAGCTTCTTTGAAAGAAGGTATAGGAAGGATTTGTAAGTTCATTCTTCTATGTTTGTCTTTAAATTGCTTTCCATGTACAAACTTATAATTAGGTTTTTCTCGAATTTATGTAGCAGATCAGGGTTGATAATGCTTTTTCAACCTCACCTGCCAATCTCGAGGCCAATCAGCTCATTCCATACGCAACAGACCGATAAACCACCTGTTTGAGCAACTGGAATGTGGTCATTTTCAAGGGGTGTTGTCCACCCCTTGCCACATCACAGGTGCTTATTTTAAACCATGTTTGTTTAGAGATTTTTTATTATTATGATTTATTCTAAATGTAAAATTGATTCTTGTTTTGATGCCTTATTTATGCAACAACCTTGTAGGATGGTCACAAACTAGAGGTTGGAAAAGTAACTCGCCGATTGCGGCGGGTTACTTCTTTTGGCGGGTTGGCATAACCCGCGCCAACAAAGGCAGGCGAGTTAGGCTCGCCATTTTTGGGGTAATGGTTGGGCCCAACTCGGCCCGCCAACCCTAACCCGCCGGTTAGGCTGCGGGGAGGGCCGAGGTTACCCTATTTTTTGATTTTTTTTTTTTTTGTTTTGTTTTATTAGTTAACTTTTCAAATAAATAATTAACGATGTAAAATGAATAAAATAGTATTGTTTTAGTTAACTTTTCAAATATCCAATAATTCAATTTAAATTAATTGGTTTTTTATACATTTCAAATATTAATTCAATTTTAATACAATAAAATGTTAATATTAGAAAAATTAAGATTTTCATTCAATGATGTAAGCACATTTAGCATAAGAATGAATTATATTTTATACAAGACATGGAAATTTAAGAATAAGACTTCAGTATTTAATTTTTTTATATTTTACGTACCATAAAAAATAATAATAACAATGTGTCAAATATTACGAAGTTTTATACATTTTAATATTTATGATTTAGAAGTATAGTTTAATATTATTGTGTAAAATTATTTGTAAGAGTTCAATCATAATAGTTTAATTAAAAGAATTAAAAAAATGGGGGAAACTTGAAAAAAATAATTAATTTTTAAATTTTTTTAATTTTTTTTGGGCTAAGCCAACCTGTCGGGTTGGCTATTGTAAACAAATAGCAACCCGGCCCGCCCGGGGGTTGCATGCGGGTTGGGTTCAACCTGGCCCGCCTATAAGACGGTCCGGGTTGAACCCTCTCTAATATGGGCTGGGTTGGGTTAGGGTTGACCCGCCTAACTCGGCCCATTTGTTTCACCTCTAGTCACAACGAGCATTGATGGGGTGACATATGGGATAATTTAATGAATACCTCTTTTTTTGTGGACATAGTGTGAAACATTGAAAAAAAAAATTGAAATATTATTCTTTTTATTTTGTTTTTCTGTCTTATAAACAATGTTATATTGCAAAGTGTTCATCAATGAAACATATTTTATTATCAAAAAGTTGCAAACAATGGTGCGTTTGTTTCCCTATTTTTGCTCTATCCTATTCCTATCATTTCTAAAATGCACATTTGTTTTCCTATTATGAAAATACTATTATATTTTATTCAATTATTTTAAACCCCCTAAGTTTGTTAATTTAACTAAGCATCCTCCAAAAAAAATTTAAAAATTGACAAAAACGCCCCCACCCACCCACATTTGTCGGATTCTAGCCACCACTGTTGAAAGGTGGTCGCAATCTGGTATAGTAGCGCACTATCGGCTGGATCTGACCGATAGTGCGCCAGATCTGATCGGTAATGCGTCGATATAGCCTTTTTTGACCAGTTCTACGGCCAAAGATGACTAGATCTTTGGTTGTAGCTAGTTGTGAACCTAGCCGTCAACGACGGCCAAACGTGGCTAGATCATTTTCTGGCCAGATCCACCTGGAAAAGGCCATCTTGGTGCACGATCGGCCAAATCCAGCCGGTCGTGCGTTGATACAGAGACTCTGGCCACCCTCCGACGGTGGTGGCCGACTGTCGGTATTTACTGGGTGGGTGGGGGTGTTTTTGTAATTTTTAATGTTTTTATTATAGGGGTGTTTAGAAATCAACAAACTTAAGGGGTGTTTTTGTTAATTTTTAAATCTTACCTCATTATTATCATTCAACTCTTATTTTTTCAAAAATACTATCAAAATACTAAAACAAACCAACTATTGAATTCTTAGATTACGTTCTTTAATTAATTAATTAATTTTTTGTGTGTCAAATTCACTTTCATAAGCAACCTCGGGTCTTTGACTTGTGTGTAATAAAGAAAAAAAAATTCTATTATTAATTCTTTTATTCACTGTATCAAAAAAAAACATACAATAAAATATTGAATTTTCAGATAAAATTTAAATGTAATTAAAATAAAATATTATTTATTAATTGAACATTGCATTAAATACTACAACAAATATGTGATAATAAATTATATCAATCAAAACTATTACTAAGACATTGTATACAATAAAATACAAATAACAATTAATCAAAACATGGAAATTTGAAAAAAGACGCAGCAATGTCAAAATCAAATAAACATGATTCAAAAGAAAAACAATGCGTCCGACTGACCATCGAAAATGTATTTAAATAAATTGGTACTCTTAGAAAATGAAATCAGTACCAATTAACCTTTGACACATCAACAACGTGGCCAACAAAATAATAAAGAAAAAAAACCTACAACTACAAAAAGCTTAAGAGTGATGAGCCCAATAATCAGAATTTAACTATTTAACTTTAAAACGTTATCATCTATCTTAAAGATTGCTTATTTTTTTACCATTTTCCTAACTTATTATTACTTTCCTAGAGGATTGGAATTGGAGCAACTACAAACACACTTAGGATTTAATGACATTTTTCGACTCAAAGTTTGACAAAAGTAATAATTAGGTCCAGTGAAATTATTTTTAAAAAAAAAAAAAAAAAAACTACTTTATATGGTACAAAATAGTGTTAAAGAACAAGCAAATCATACTTGTTGGCCCAACTATGTGATGGCTGTAAATAAATAATCTAATTTTACATGTGTTTTTAATTTTTAATAATGATATGAATTATTGGATTATTTTAGGATATTTTTTTTTCTATTGCATCATTTTCTGTATGGGTTGCTGGAAGTATTATAATATCCAATGGTATGGAAGTAATTGAGGATCCGTGGTGTGGGGAAATACCACAGGTTTCAACCACCAATTGTCATGTTGACGTCCAGAAAATTTATTAACAAAAGACAAAATCATTTATTTCCTCATTTTTTTCTCAATTATTATAACGTCAAATCATACTATCATAAAATTTGATAAATATTAAAAATTTTATATAAAAACTCCCATGTAATCTTTTCTAAAAGTCAGGCGTGTTTATATAATTGTGGCATATCGAATCAAAATAGTTTGCAATTATTATGTCTATAAAGCTGGAAAGTTTTCCAAAAGAGCTTTTGTAAGTCTTCTTCTTCACCATTTTCTTATTACATGACTTCATTTATTTTCTTTGGTGATACAAATATGTATAAACTAGCGTTATTTTGTGCTTAGATTTTTCAACTTTATGCATGGAACTATAGCTACTTCACAAAGATTACAAAGAACAGTCTCAGTTTATGTTCATTCACTTGAAGTGAGTTACTTTCTTGTTTCCGTTTTTTCAAGAAGAAGCTTCTGTTGTTCTATTTCTGAGATTGGATCACAACTGTTAGGGAGCCTAATCTTTATCTCTAAGCTTTTGGGGTTAATAATAGTATGGTCCGTAACTTTTGCCTTCAATCTTGTGGTCTTAAAAATCAGCAAATGGTTCCTGGAAACAGAAATTTTTGATTCAGACTTTTCATTTGTGATGTAATGTTGTGTTGAAGTGGGAGGACATTGCTTTGATTCAGGGAAAAAGTGAGGAGTTCTGTCATTTTTTTTTTTCTCGGGAAATTTCTAATGTTTTATTCTATAAATTGAGCTTTGATATGGGTTAGTGGTAACAAAGACATTTGAAAGTTTTTATGTGTTAAAATGATAGATATTTTTTTTTCTTTCTTTCTGAGATTTTAAAGCATATCAGCATGATTTTCTTTGTTTATTTTGTTCAATTGGAATATTGGTTGTTGTTAATATGATTTACGCCGCATTGATGAACTCTGTGGCCAGCCAAAAAGGGGAAAAAATGGAAAAGTGTTTATGCTTTTGTGTTAGTGTATGCTCTCTTCGCGAATCTTAAATGAGACATATACTCTTGGATTAATCTAGGAATCACGCGTTTTTTTCATTTAATAAAGTCACATGAAAATCTCATTAGCTTTTATTCACAATAGAATCATGATGTGATAGAACACAGAACCTGATGATGAAAACCATTTTCAATTGCTCATTTTATTCGGACCATACAAAAATTACTGTGGAAACAATCCACATAAAGAAAAAACTTTCTATATAGAAGCAAAAATTTTGGAGACTGGCGATTGGATACTGTGCTAGAATTCTACTCTGCTTAGTTATTGCACTTAGTGCCAACAAAGGGTAGCGATTGACAATTTCAACTTTTATTTATATTGAAAGCTAAAGAAGGGCTCTATTCTGTTTGTGAAAATGGAGGGAGAGATGGAAGAGAAGCTTTTGAGGCAAGCAGAAGAGAATCTTTTGAGGCAAGCAGAAGAGAATCATGTTGATGAGGAAATAAATCTCAAGGACAAGGTGTGGACTGAGACTAAAAAGATGTGGATTGTAGCAGGTCCTGCCATTTTCACGCGATTTTCGACATTTGGGATGAACTTAGTTAGTCAAGCCTTTGTCGGGCACATTGGCTCAACTGAACTAGCAGCCTACTCGCTTGTGGTTACTGTCCTCTTGAGGTTTGCAAATGGCATCCTGGTATGCACTTGCCATTACCTTCAAACTTGAATTGGCGTTTCTGGATTTTGTGTTTGTTTCGGGTTGATCACTGGCTTGAGTGGTGCACTTTTTGTCTTCCAGAGATGTATTATGACTCATGCTGTATATGTTTGATCTAAATATTGTTTTGCTTGTATTACTTACAGTGTTTATTTTTGCAGTTGGGGATGGCGAGTGCTTTGGAAACGCTGTGTGGGCAAGCATATGGTGCGCAACAGCACCACATGATGGGAATATATCTTCAAAGATCATGGATAGTTTTGTTCATTTGCTCAATCTTTCTTCTTCCAGTGTTTATCTTTACTACTCCAATTTTAATTGCTTTGGGCCAGGAAAGAGAGATCGCAGAATTAGCGGGAGTCATTTCTTATTGGCTACTCCCTGTAATGTTTGCATTCATAATATCCTTTACCTGCCAAATGTTCCTACAAGCACAGAGCAAGAACATGATTATCTCTTACTTGGCAGCATTTTCATTTTCAATTCATCTCCTTCTTTCATGGCTTTTGACTGTGAAATATAAGTTTGGAATCATGGGGGCAATGGTATCGACAGTTATGGCATACTGGATTCCAAATATGGGTCAACTTATGTTTGTTATGTATGGTGGGTGCAGTGAAACATGGAAAGGTTTTTCCATTTTTGCTTTCAAAGATCTTTGGCCTGTAATGAAGCTTTCACTGTCATCTGGCGCCATGCTTTGGTAAGCTTATAATATAACTGTCACACTGATGTAATTTATTATTTTTGTTATTATTGTTGCATAATGGACCTTTCCTTCTTCTGTCAATCAACATTTTAATTGAGTTAGTTTTCTGTTGTCCTTGACAGTCTTGAGCTCTGGTACAACACAGTATTGATTCTTCTAACAGGAAACATGAAAAATGCTGAAGTTTCCATTGATGCTCTCTCTATTTGGTAATTGATTCATCGTCTCCTCTCCTATGGTTGTTTCAGGATTCACTTTTCTATTCTGTTTTTCAGTTTAAGGTTACATCGGCTAATTATCCATTTTAGCACATTCTTGTTAACAGCCTCAATGTCAATGGTCTCGAAATGATGATATCCCTTGGTTTCTTGGCTGCAGCAAGGTATTGTCAATTGCCTAGAACTCTTATGGTTCTTGATAATAGAACTCTGTAGATCCTTACTTGAAGTGACCATATGCCAAAAACATTTATTCGACCTTTTAAGTGGCATGAGCTTGCTTTGCATTACCGTAAAATTTCGATCTGATTTTATTTGTGTAGCCTAATTAATGACAGCTATTATTCCCTGACATAAATTGCCTAGAAACAGTATTTCTTGAAAAATATGTGATCACTCAATCGAGCGAAGTATTCGTTACAAAGGGGAATATTACATTCCTTTAAGTATGCCTTTTTACAACTGAATAATGTCTTCAATCTTGTTTTGGATGTAAAATCTTCAGTGTTAGGGTCTCGAACGAGCTTGGACGAGGAAGCTCAAAAGCTGCAAAGTTCTCCATTATAGTAACAGTTTGTACATCATTTGCCATTGGATTAGTATTGTTTCTATTTTTCCTTCTCCTCAAGGGCCGTCTAGCATACATATTTACTGACAATTATGAGGTGGCTCGAGCAGTAGCAGATCTTTCTCTACTTCTGGCTTTCTCCATACTTTTGAATAGTGTGCAACCAGTGCTCTCCGGTAACGTTTACCTTCTTTGCAATGGCTTTTACTTTTTTATAATTAAGACCAGTCATTTTACATATGATGATTATAATCAATTAATGCTGCTTCTCGATTCAAAAAGGGAAATGCCAAACATTAAGAATATATACATGTAACCAAAAGAATTTTGAACAGGAGTTGCTGTTGGTGCTGGATGGCAAAGCATTGTGGCATACGTTAACTTATCGTGCTACTACCTGATTGGGATTCCTGTTGGAGTTGTGCTTGGTTATGTTTCCAAATTTGGAGTCAAAGTGAGATATTATTCTTCTGTGAAAAAAAAAAGATTCTAAATCTTAATTAGGCATGAAATGAAAGTTGTTAAACTGAGATAATTTGTTTTGTAGGGTGTGTGGATGGGAATGTTGTTGGGAACATTTGTTCAAACTGTAGTGCTTATTATTATAACCTGGAGAACTGATTGGGATAAACAGGTATTATACTTTTCCATTTTGGTGCCAAAATTACAAGCATATATAATTCTTTACTTTAACTTGATATAATTCATAAACTATATGAATTTGCACAGGTTATTATAGCTCGAAAACGCGTTAGCAAGTGGGTCGTAGCAGAATCTGCAGAAGAATCAACGCCCAAGAGACAAGAAGTATGAGATTTAGCTTCTTCAATTGCCACTACCCTTTTGATACTTAATTACCTTGAATTAAGGGTCTTGGTGGTTCAATAACTGGAATTATATTTTGTTTTCAACTTTACAAATATCCCAAGATTTCCCTCTACTTTATATTCTTTTATTAATTACCATAGTTTTATTAAAAGAGTGAAACAATGGGGTTTTTATTTCCATAAATATTTTGAGAGTTTCATAAGGTTTTTATATTGTGTTTTAGAGTGCTACAATTTGGCTAAGAGAAAATTGGTTTTTGCTCTTTCATTATCTCTTCCTAAAACAGTACTCTAAATGCAACCAAGATTTATGTTTGACTAACAACATCCATAAAAATCCGAGTAAACTACTTTTTTCTACACAAATAATGGTTTAATGATATTTTCTCACCTGCAGACTTTTAAAATATTATATTACTATTTAAATTTATATTCCGTTTTCGATGTCAACATCGTTGCGATCTCACACCACCACCATTTTCTTCCTCGATCATTACTCATTAAAGCCTGTCAAACCCTCCTCTTGCCAACCCCAACAATTGAGCAAATACGGTTTGTGCAGTCGCCCTTCCCAATTCAAATTCTGCCCAATCCCAACCACCAAAATCCAATCTTCTACCAATGTTTTAAAACCTAGCTCAATCGAGCCGGTTGAACTAGTTCAACCGGAATAGAGGGCTTCACTGGGTCGGGTTACCAGTTTTTATATTCATTGAAAACCGTAAAAATTGGGATGATGATCGATGAATAATTGAAGACCGAGATGCTTGAGCTTTTGAAGAGGAAGGGCCGATGATTGCAATTGTGGCGATGAAGGTGATTTCCAGTGAGTGAATTGATCGAAAAAAAATTGACGACGATAACAAACGGTGATTGGTGAAATGAACGGGGGTGGGGTGACATGGGTTTTGGTTAGGATGCTGAAGAGAGTATTTTCCCCGTCGCCCGGGGGGGGGGGGGGGTTAGATACGGCAGTGGTGAGATCTAGCTTGGGTTGTTGAAGCTAATGGTGGTGAGATTTGGCCTAGGTTGTCGACGTTGGCGGAGGTGAGATCTGATCGAAATCAAATCGATTTTGGGTAGATTTTCTAGGGAATGGGCTCAAGGGATGATTGAGATTACATTTGGTGTGTTGCTATCGTTGACCAGTCAACCGCTGATTTGTATTTGGGGTGTTTGCTAAATTTCAAACTCTAGAGACTATAACTTTTAGGGGTATTTTTGTTGAATTTTAAACTTTTTTACTAGGGGTGAGCACAGGTAGCGGATAGAACCGAAAAACCGGTAGGTAGAACCGGAACCTACCTGGAACCGGTACTGTGCGGGTAGGTTCCAGTTCCAATTTTTTGAACCGATACTGTGCTTTCGGTTCTGGTTTCGGTTCTGTGTGTGGAGAATCGGAACCTGTAAAGGGTACCCTGTTTGGAACCTGTAAGGGTACTCAGTTTGGAACCGATTTTTGGAATCTGTTTGAACCTGTTTTGGAACCTGTTTTAAAACTTTTTGTGGAACCTGTTTTGGAACCTGACTACAATGAAATATTTGTGAAATGTGAATAATGGAGGGTTCTATTATTTTACATGTAAAAAAATTTAAAATAGAAAAAGTTACTTTTTAGAATAACCTAATTAAATAATATACAAATACAATTATACTTATTACTATAATTACACCATATAAAAGCTTTAATATATTATAATACATTAATATTAAAGTTTTGATTAATAAGTGAATAATTGGAATTATGATCCAATTAAAGTGTTTTACTTTTTAATGTTATTAAAGATTATTTTTGAATAAAATATATATTTGATTGAGTAATAAATATATTATTATTTACTTCAATTATCAAGTTCTAAGTATATCTATATAAATTAGTAATTAATTAATATATGATAAATTGATAAACATTAATAAATTTAATTACTATTAAATATCATACTTAATCAATTATAACATTACATTATAGTTAAATGATTAATTAATTATTTATAATTTATAATATTCTTAATTGAATTACATCTTTTGCATTTTTTCCCGAAGGGACGTAGCATAGAATTTCCTTGCACCTCGTTCCTTCGAAAACCCAAGTTTTCCCTGTTTTTCGAATAAACCTTCCATGATCTGAAGTTTGGACTTGAAAACAGGCTTCTTCCTCATAGAACGAACCGTTTTGGTTTTTTAACCTCCACGTTGAAATCATTTCGTTTCTTTGAGTATTCCAATTTTGGCGTTTTCCCGGCTTAGAATCGCAACCATATTGTCCTGGACTCCCCAAAATTAGCAACAGGTATCATTGAAGTCAAGCCTTTTAGCTTCCCTTCAAGCTTGGCATTCAAACACCTTTGTTCTCACGAGTTGCCGTACAGCTTCTATTCTTCCTCCTAGAGAATCAACTATTTGGTTTTTCTCTAGTAAAAGCTTGAACGCCTCGTTGCAGCTTTGTCCCATCCATTGGGCAGCTTTGCGAAGAAGCATTCTTCATTACTTCCTGCGTGCCACCAGGTAACTGGTAAAAATACTTCCTGTACTCACAGACGAAGTTTTCGAACTGGCACATGTCACAAAGACGAAGTTTGGTCAAAGCTTCCAAAGCTACTACCTCGGCAAGATTCCTACTGGTTATGTTATTCCATAAATTCTCGACAGAGCATATCCTTAAAAAGTGCAAAAATTCCTTCACAACTTTTAAGTCCCTTACAGTATCAAGAATACCGGTACTAGCTTCTAAACTTATCCAGAAGCTTCCTGCAGACCCCTGCAGTGTAGACCGTAAAAATCTGTAAGTTTGTCCTAGGTCAAATGCTTTGTTTTGCACATGACCCAGTTTACGTTTCCCAATTTTCAATTGCTTCAGTCACGTTACTGACGCAATCTATGTTAAGAAACTTCCACCGACGGTATCTCCACTAACCGTGGATTAGGTCTGGGGGTAAATTCCGACTTATCGTTGTAGGATAGTCGTGGGTTTGAATTCAGGCTTTGAGATTTCCCTAAGATCCTTCAAAAGATGTAACGGATTTCTCATCCCATCTAAAGGATCTTCCTTACCTCAGATTCCCTGAGTTGTGAGATTAAGTTATCTAAATCCGCTATTTGGGTCCTGGGGAAGGTTTTGATCCTTTTCCAGGCTTCCTTTGTTTATTAAATTCTTCCTCGTAATATTTACTGATTTTCACAGCATCCGAAGAGTAATTTCCGGAAGTTCGATTTGTTTACCTTCCTTTTTAGAAACAAAGTATTCCTCTTTAAAAGCCTTTAGATACAAGTTTTCAGCTTTTCCCAATCGCCTTGGGATTCCTGACAACAAAATCTGCATATCCTGGGGAAGCCAGGAAATTTATTTTGTAGGCTGGCAGCAAACTGCTTTAGAGTATCCTTGTCTGCCATGCTTATCCTCAGTCTGGAGATAAGTTTTTGAATCTTTAGTCTGATCCGAAATCTGATCCAGATTCCCTGAATCTTTTTACCTGAAGATGTGCAAACTCTTCTCCAGTTGTTCCTCTAGCTGAGCTAAATTGCTAGAACCTTCAGTACTAGGATCTTGAGATTCTCCAACCAATATCCAATTACAGCTTCACTTTTTCCAGCCATTTGTTCCGAAACTGAGTTCGTATGTTCAATGACTGTAAGTTGACTAGTACGAATTGTAAAACCGAGTTGCTCCCTGCTGCAAAGCAGTATGAATAGCGTCCCTCAGTCTTTTAATACTCGCCACTCCAGATTCTTTCCGGATCTGGATTTCCGTTACAGAGATCTAAGAACACCTCTTAATCTCTTCTTCAGATACCTTCTATAGGACACACTTGTTCTATACACTAAGAACCAGTGACTAGGATAATTACCTATCTAATGATAGTAACCTCTGAAGCCAGAGTTCCGTAATCTTTTACCTATTCAGAAAATAGTAAGAACACGTTCCAGAGTAATAATCCCTTGTAATTCAGATTAGCCTTTTCAATCCTTTCTTGGATCTGGGTTAATTCTTGCTGTAAGCAAATATACGATAAATCGTATAATTTGCCTTCCTACGAGATTTTCGAACTTAAAATTATTTGTTCTAATCTATCAACGATAGTATTCAACAAACCGATTTCCGGTTTTGTTTCAAGCCCATGTCTAATGAAAACAAGTTTGATTAAAACACCTTGTACATTTAAATCTTATTCATAATTTCTTTTGAAAATTTAGTATAGAGTGTTCTAACATCCAACAATGATGTCCCAAACTACTCTATTATCCTTTCTATTCAAAGATAATATTATTAAACAGGTATTAGATTTTATCAGAGTAATCCAAAGTAATCAAAGAATAAGTATAGCCTAAATCTTTTACCTTTACCTCCCGGGCTCTGATACCAATTTGTTTACAGGATCATTCATGCTATGTTTACACACATGATCAAGTATATTTATAACATTCAAGAACATAATCATGTTTATTAATAGAAGAGAAATAAAATTTACCTCTTTAAGAACCTCTGCTGTAATGAAACGCAAGAGTAAGAGTAGACAATTCTTTGTGAAAGTTTTGATTTTATTTTCTCTCACTAAATATGATAACAATCTCTCGTTTTATAGACGAGAGTTAAGGCATGGATTTCAATGAGTTTGAATCCGCCGACAACTTTTACAAAAGTCAAAAGTCTAGTGAAGCCTTTTGACAAAGTAAAACTAAAAAGCAAACAAACAAGACTTGGGGTCTACTTTCTCCCATTGCCAAAGATAAATAGTACAAATATTCCGCTTTTAGATACACGTTAGCGTCTACGTGTTGATCATTGTGTTGATCAAATCTCCCTTTTTCCTGGCTTTAGGACGAACTGGGCCGCTCCAAAGAGTCCAGTAAAACCCAAAGAATTTTCCTCTGAGTCCATCTTAGCTTCTTCTTGGGCTAGATGGTCGAAGAATATCTTTCTTTCCTTCCATCAAGGCTTGTTTTGATAAATTGGCGAGTTCAAATCCTTCCGCCAAAACTTTAACCCGAGCCTTGTTTTGTCTGAAAAGAGTATCCTGACTATCGCATATTTGTCCGAAAGAACGACAATAATTCCTTGTGTCAATATGGACTAATGCTTCCTTCTCTAGAAGTTCGTTCAGCTTGGACTTAACTTGCATCATTTTAGTGATATGCAGTCTTGACCAAATCCATTCCTCTTTTCCAGATCTTCTTCTTAATCATGTAGTCCGCCGATCCCATTATAATGTGGTC